GTTAAAGAGGCTATTATATGCATATAACCTTTAGCCCTGTTTCTAACTACACTCTATGTCCAAGTAAACAGCGGGATGTTGAGACTTCACTAAAAACAGGTTATCAGTGTCATAAGTTAATGACCATGTTGTTAAAGATCAAAAAGCTTGTCAGACCAGTGATAGATAGATACAGTATTAGTATATTGTACACTTTTATAGTTGATTTAGTGTGTTTAAGTTTAAGTGGGAATGTAATACTTCCATGGCAAACTTTACACTAAGTGTACTGAACTGAACTATAACATTAGCAGTGAGTTATTATTCATGATCTGATGGGAGGACAGAGTACAGCACCGATGCTGTAAAATCAGCGGGGCACAGCAAATATCCTGAACTCTTCGGGGGAATGGGTGAAGCCCACCACAGCCTCCATGCTGGGCATTTCTCCAGGAACAGGAGAAAAAGTGAAGCGTTGAAGGAGACATGTAAAGAACAGGAACAGCTCCATTTTGGCCAGGTGCTCCCCTAAACACACACGTTTACCTGCAGGGAAACAGTAGCTTTAGGTCAGTAGATTCCTAACTTACATGTTGCTATATGAATGGTTGTATGTTGGTAGCAATTCCTGTAAGCTACAGAATATCATTAAAGTGAAAAAGAACCTGCTGAAAATGGCAAGAAAGCGTCTCTTCTGCGAAACTGGCCCTCTGAATCCAAGAAATGCTCAGGGTTGAAGATATCTGGAGTCGCCCACTCATTCTTATCAAACAGGGCAGACCCAAGCATTGTGCTAATAGCTGTGCCCTAGAAAAAAACAGTCATGATATGTTCATATCAGTTATAGAAAATAATTTACAGATTTAACAGCTTGCTATTCATCCCTGGGTCAGTCTGATATAAGTCCTTTACCTTTGGTATGAAGTATTCTCCCAGTGTAGCGTCTTTAGTGGCCATTTTAGGGAATCCCAAGGGAACAATATTTCCCATCCTCTGTGTCTCATGGATGACAGCATCAGTGTAAGGCAGGTTGGGTCTGTCGGCCAGGTTGGGCTGACGAGACTGTCCGATCACTCTGTCTATCTCTGCCTGAACTTTCTCTGAAGGAGTTGCAACAAACAGGCTTGACACTTGACATTAAACTTTCTATAACCTTCATGAGAATACTCCCATGCTCAATGTGACTGATAACATACTAACCCTGTATCTCTGGGTAGTGCAACATGTACACAAGGGCCCAGCGTAAAGTTGTGGCAGATGTTTCTGTACCAGCCTCAATCAGGTCCAGGGTGCAAACCAGCAAGGTTTCAATGCTGAATCCTGCCTGGGGATCCTCCTTTTTCTAGCAGAAAAAGAAAGAATATGCTGTTATTTTATGACATTGTACACTAAGCCATGCATTCTTAGCCTTAGACGAAACGATTTTTCAGTGCAACAGCTGATGTATGTCGACATTTTGCTTTACTAAAAATGCGGACATATCTTACCTTTTCCATCTCTGCCAGGTATACGTCGATATAATCACGAGGGTCATCAGGATTCCACTCTTCCTGGTGCTTCTCTACTTCTTTCTTCAGGAAAGTCATGATCTCGTGGTAGTTTGCGAGGACAGTCTGATGAGGTCCTGGCAGGTACTGCATCAAGCCGGGGAAGGCATCATACAGCTAGTGATGGGACAAACTCTCCGATCAGTAAAAGACCCAGTTTATTTTCTGATCACAACTTGATAGCTGAGGCAGATCAGGAATTACCTGAGTCTGAGCAGAGCCAGCGAGCACAATGGCCTCATTGTCCAACTCAAGAACCTTGCGAAAGCTTTGATCACTGTATTCAAAGCGATGTCCGAAGATCACAGAGGAGATGATGTTACTCACTCCATTCGTTATGATGTAGTGGGGATTGAATGGTCTTCCTGGGAATACAATGAATTAAATTCAAGTGGTGATAAATCATATTAGGGTGTAGCGTCACTTTATTTGTCACATACATTCTGCACAATGGTGATGTGATGATACTGTTAACCAGATTTTTGCAGTAGTCAAGTTATGTGAACTAACAGATGAATCTATGATCTACATACCTTGTTCCTCTTTGAAAGCTTCACAGATGAAGTTGCTTTCCACTTCAATGTATGCTTCCAGTGACTTCTGCCCCTCTCCAAAATAACGCAGGTGAGTGTTGGCAAACTTCCTCTGCTTCCTCCACAGGTAACCATTGCTCAAAGCTATGCCTGTGGGAAAGTGAAATCAAATTATTTACAAATCAAACAACCCCTGCTCAAAGATGGCGTATCATAGATGTAGCATGGACGATACATGGAGGAATTAGATATAACCTGCCAGTTAATATTACTTTTCATTAATGTTTCTTTCATATATTTCAGGAAATTAATTTTTATTATATTATTATTACTTATATTCTGGTAACAACTCTTTTAAGTTCAGTTATGAATTCTGATTACAGAGATCTTGAAGGCTGGAATTAACTATGAACCAGACTCTCATTTTCAAGTTCTCCATAATTATCTTGTTATTTTGAGAATTTAGCCCTTTTCTCAAGACAATTAGATAAATCAACTTGTGATCTTAAGATAACGGCATTAAAAATGCAAACATGGCTGTTCTTGGCCTCTGAAAGAAGAAGATCTGCGCCTGTGGCATACAGTCATACTCACCAATGCCCTTGAAGATAACATGAAAGAGAGGGACGATAGGTCGATCAATAAAGCAGTCCAGCTGGTTAACAAGAGCCTCTTTGACCATCTTGTATCCCGAAATAAACACCATCCTCTCATTGCCCCTCCGCAAGCTGAACACTGGACCATACTCCTGAGCAAGCTGCATTTAAAAGAAATTACAAATGTTTCACAAGCACTGTATTCTTTCAATATAAGAATGATACATTTAATAGAAACAAAGGCTGTTTTTGTCTGATGAAATGCTTAAAAAGTGTGAACAATTATATAAACACTCATAATAAAGTTTCCCTTGTGACCACTGTTTCTCTGTTTCTTCTCGTGATTTTTGAATCCATTCTCTTTGACATACTAAGTAAATTAGTACTTATTTTCCATGCATTGACCTGCAGTTTGTCACTGATTATTATGTTTTGAGCTGCGGAAATGTTTCATGTTATTTTGAAAACTCACATACAAAATGGTGGTCGAAATTATTTTATAGCCTTAAATAAAAATTTGGCTTGGGCAAAATACATGAATATGTACTGTGTCATTATGTTGACAAGGCTACATTTTGTAAGCCAAATTGCTTCTGGGATATTAAAGGCCCATTGTGTAGGATTTACTGGTATCTAGTGATGAAATTGCAAATTGCAGCTAATTGAACACCACTTGCATCTGTATTTGATAATCTGCATTAAACTTGCAAAAAATGCCAAAGTCCTCATCTACAGCAAGTGTTTGGTTTGTCCGTTCTGGGCTTCTGTAAAAACATGACTCTAGTCTGGGAAACTAAAATGTTACTGTTCACCTCACCTTTTCCATTGTCTTGAAGTCAACTCCTGTGAAGACATTTCCCAGAAAAGGCAAAGCCCAGGGTCCAGGTGGAAAGTTGTGTGGCCTCCAGTTTCTGACCACATCAGTCAAAAGTAACACAACAAAACTGAACAGCAGCCAACTATACAAGTCCATACACTCAAAAAGTGCTTGAAAAATCATGCTAAAGAGATTTCAAAAAGCCCTCTGTAAAATCAGTTTGCTCCTGCAGACAAGATGGTGGTGCCTCTCACATTATATGGGAGTGAAGTGGAGGAGGCCCAAACAAGGAAATGTTATGTAACAGTGGTGGCCTCCCAGGACCTCTGAAGTGAAAAACAAGGCTGGAGCATGAACTCTGGTTGCTGACTGCATGCATTAGAGCAATATTATCTGCTGATTTAGGCCTATTGCATACATACCAGTATTTTTTCCATTTCATGCACTGCAGAGAGGCCTGTAGTTTTTACAGGACAGATGTTATTAGCTATTTATTTTAATTTTATGTATTCTTTATTTTCTCAGTGTTCATTTTTAGAACGTACATTATTTAACATATGAAAGAATCATTATATAATTCATCATATATTATATATATTTTATTTAAATGTGTCTTGACTGCATGCTGGTTATATAGGAAAATGAATGTGCCTTGAACACTAGTGCCCATGAAGCAGTCAACAAAAACATTCTGCTTCCTTGTTTGGAGTTGGCATTTAGTTTTAAAAAAGATGTTCAACCAAATATCCTGCAGTGATCTTAGGAGGAATTATACAGTCTTATATTGTCTTATTATACAGAAGAGGCCTTCACTGAATACCTTGATGGCTCAGAGGTTTCCCCTCTGGTGTTGTGTCAGTTTGTGGTAATTTTACTTTACTTGAATATGCATCATGTAAGCACAATTTAAACTATAATCTAGCCTCTAAAATAAAGGGTCATTAAATGATGCAGGTCCCACCTTAGTTAATACTGTACTCATGAGGAGCAAATTACTGAACACATTTGCAATAAATCAAATTACCAAAATCAACTGATGTACAGGGAACTTGGGATTTTTATGGCCCCTATGGGGGCTTGGGAATTGTGTCTGCTCTCCCCAGGTGGTAATCCAACCTTGACTCATATTAGTCCTCAAAGAGATGGATCTACAAGGGCACAATGGAGGAAAGTAACTAAGGACCGTACTTCAGTCCAGTTACTTTTACATAAAACAGTACTGCCACTGAAGAACACGCATAGGCTTATTCCTGTGTGCATGTTTTGGATTTTATTTTGAAGGTTAGGAATGCAAACATAAAGTCTTATCTTGATATTAGCCTGGCTGGGTTAATGGTTATAAAAGCAGCCCACTTACAGTGCCTTGCGAAAGTAT